ATATTTCGAAGATATGCCCACCACTTTCCAATTGCTAGACTTAAACTACATATCTGATGTTCAAGAAGATTTTTGTGGTTGTTGCTGACACTAGTCAATTCCAAAATGTTGTTCCAGGTAACAGGAAAAAAAGGAAATAAAAAGCAAAACATTGTTAATGACGTGAAAAATTTTGTAACACCATGCTTTTAACTGAAATGCAACGAGATAACCTGAATAAGTGCAGTTATGAAAAAATTGTGGTCACATTCAATATTTCTATAAAGACAGCTTATAAAATTTGGTGAAATGCAAAGCTTCATCTGAAAATTACTTCTCTTTGAGGCTCTCTCTATTTTCATTGCACATTTTCTTTTTACCCATAAGATCAGAGACCATTTTGTGGATTCTTTCCCTAATTTCTTCTTACAAAAAGCAGAATTTGATGAGTCTTTCTGTTTAGTCATGTTTTATTTTTTAGATTCTTTGGTCGTTTTCTTTCTCAATGATTTCATATATAATCGTGAAATGGCGCTAACGAGAAGGCACAAGATAGCGGTTGTGAAAATGAGTGGATTATGGAGATGTGTGATGGAGGTAGTTTTCAAATGTGAGTCTCTGTATATTTTGAAACCCTTATTTGACTACAGATGTGCGTTATTGTGTGTAATAAAGAGATAATGTTGGTAGACAGACATATACACATTTGTAAATAGAGAACATTTAAATGACTTATACTCTTGTAGGCCAAAAAGATTTGTATCCACTATATTTTTAATATGAGCATATTGGTTAGCTTTTGCGAGAAAACAATCGTCCACTTTTGCTTTGAAAACACAAGGGCATTAAATGCCCAATCTTTTTTCTTTTTTTGGCTTTCATTTTTTCTTGCTAACCGTGTACAATTAACACAAAAACTCAAATTAAATGAGGGTATTTTAGACTTTGAACAATTGTATCTTTCTCAAAATTTCTATTTTAAGTAAATTTCTCTATATAGAAACAACATCCTAAATAGAAATTTTTAAATAAAAAGAATAGAGGGAGCTAAGGGTGGCCACGGTTCCGGAATCGAACTGAAAATTTCCAGTTTCAGTTCCGATTCCGGTGCCGGTTCCTTAACGGTTTCAAAACCGACGGTTCCGATCGGTTTTTCGACTGGTTTTCCGGCAAATTGCATAATTTTAAATTTTAAATTTTTAGGGTGGCCACGGTTCCGGAATCGACTGAAAAATTTCCAGTTTTCCATTCCGATTCCGGTGGGTTCCTTAACGGTTTCAAACGATCGTTTCGATCGGTTTTTCGACTGGTTTTTTTTTCCGGCAAATTGCATACCAATTTAAATTTTTACATTTTTGAAGACCATTTTCAAAATTTTTAAAAATTTGTGAAAGTTATTTCTAAAAAAAAGAACACACTAAAAAAATTAAAAAATGCTTCAATTTAAAGACTTGAACTTAATTATTTTTTTAAAAAAAAGTCTTCAACTGAATTTATTTTTTGTTTAACAAAGTTTGAACATAATTTTTTTTAAAAAAAGGGCTTGAACTTAATTTAAAAAAAAAAAAAAAAGAATTAAGTTGCCTACGTATCCTCTTGATGTTTAGAGGAATCAAAAAATTAAGAGATTTCACAACAAAATTTTAAAAAAATAATAAATCTGATAGTTTCTAACGGCTAGAACCGCCGGTTCGAACCGGGGGTTCTAATCGGCCGGAGAACCGGCAGTTCCATCCAGTTCCAACCGGTTTGTGGAACTGCCGGTTCGTGGTTCCAACAATACTAAAACTGGAACCGAACCGGAAATCATCGGTTCCGGTTCGGTCCGGTTCTGATTTCGGTTCGGACCGGTTCTGAACCACCGGTTCCGAACCACCGGAACCGTAATATGGCCACCCCTAGAGGGAGCAGAGTACATGTTTAAAGAGTGTAAATATTCGGTTTTTTTTCTTTTTTTTTTTTTTTTTTTTTTTCTTTTTTTTTTTTTTTTTTGAAAGAAATAAGTGGTTAAATATTTGTGATGAATACAATACAAAACATGTTGGTAATCATTGAGGGTCCAATAACTTTTTAGTCCAACGTCGACAAGAACACAAACCCAGCAATTTTTTTTTTTTTTTTTTTTTTTTTTGAAGAAATAAGTGTAAATATTTGTGATGAATACAATACAAACATGTTGTATCATATGAGGTCCATACTTTTAGTCCAACGTCGACAAGAACACAAACCCAGCACGTCTGTACCCATTCATATTTCCCTTCCCAATGCTCCAAAAAATCGTTATTATCTAAAGAAAATTGAAGTCTGAAGCCCAAAAAAGAAAATACATAATAATTCTATAAAAAATAAAATATAATATCTCTAAGGTTTTACATATACACACGTAAATTAAATATTGGGTTTCTCCCCGTACATGCAACTCTCCTCATCTCGTTGGTCTTGCTACTAGCTGGCTACTTAATTATTGTTCTCTCTTGTGTCTTTCACATTAACGTGATCATAAATTCTCACGCTATGCCACTCTGGGAGATTGTAGAACCATACTTTAGACATAACGGAGGACATGTTTCTATGGTTACAAACGATCCCAGTATCATTAAACCAAGTTCTTCATTCCCAACATCAATATCCTCCAACATGATCATGTATGAAAAAGATTATCTTCAAGATCCTTTCGCAGGTTTTCCAGATATTCCATGTTGCCCATATTTACATACCACTGGACATGAAGAAAAGTATGGGTTTAAACCATGCGATGAACAACCATGTTCTGGTAGCAAAATAAAAGCTACTGAAATGGATATTCCAAGTGAGGTAAGTATCATATTTAGCAGTTCAGTTTATATTTATATTTTTTGTGTGTTGGACTCGAAACAAATTTGCATATAAAGTCATCTCTCATTGGTTGCATATGAGCTTTGCCATGCAAGTTTTATTTTTCAGTCTGTAGGGAATTAAAGTTGGTAATTTTGCATGAGGAGCTTGCCATGCAACCTCAGTATTCTTCACTTTGAAGGAACAAAAGGCGGCCAAAACTAACCCACATCGGGGACACACCCTTGTATGAGAATTGTAAGGAGTTAGTGGTGAGAGATAGTTAGACAACAAGTTTGAGAGAAAAATTTTCTGCTCTTAGTTTACGTAAAACGATAGTATTATTTTTTCAATATTGAGACCGTATTAGACCCAAAACCTAACCTTAAGAAGGTTATAAGAGGAGGTGTAGCCCCTAAGATCAATGTAGTTCTTCTCCTGATTAGGTTATAAGAAGTTCTGGTATTTTACACGGCGATGTTAGATACGTTTAGAAAATTGTTTTTGTCATGGTATTTTTTGTGCATGGAGTTTCTTTAGGGTTGGAAGTATACGTATGGTTAAAGAATTAAATTTTTATTATGTTACTTTTTATGAAGTTTTTAATATATATTTATGGTTTTTGACATAAACTAAATATTAATTAATTATTCATTGATTTATTTGATTCCAGTTCTCTGGAGAAGCAAATAAAAAGAAACATGATAAGAAACCTAAAAGTGCTCGTTCAGCTGAAATGCATAAGATGTATGAGAGGGTAAGATAAGTTTGACGTTTTCTTTTAAAAAGTATGCTTTTAGCAAGTTTTGCAATAATAATTTCTTTCATTCTATTTCCTGTTATATTAAGCAGAAGCATAGGCACCAAATCAAAGAAAAAATGAAAGCTCTGCAGGAACTCGTACCCTATAATTTGAAGGTTAGTTTTACCCTATATAAGTTCCTATCTGCAAATATTATTGTTCGATAAAATCACTGCTCTCCAGTGTTCAATGCTTTAGAAGCATGTCTTGAATTAATGCAACAACATTCAATATGTTATCTATAAACTTGAAACGAAAAAATTCATTTGTAAGTGGTAAATTTTATTTAGATGTCAAATTTCACAAAGTTAAATTTGTACAAGTGTACGTAAGCCTAGAGCAATATAACCCATTTCAAACTAGGAAAAAGGAAGAGGGTTGTTGTAGGTGGATAGTCTAAGGTAAAAATAATAGTTCAGTGTAATCATATCAACAATAATGCACCGAATCTCATCTGAATCTTAAAGTTAAATATATTTAGTCAAGAATAGTTTGAAGATGTGTACCTCGTGAGATGGTGCACATATTATTTCTGTTGACCCTAACTAGTTTGAAATTTAAGCTTAGAAAAAAAATATTGTGGCCTTCTGAAATAGACATTATGGCTCTTAAAATTCACTTTTTAATTGTTTCCTAAATTTTTTTTTCTATTTTTTGTTATAATTTCACACCTCGCAAGTTAAAAAGTGAATTAGCGTATTCATTGAGCGAAAAATTAAAATCAAAAGGCTCAAAGGCTAAATTTCAAAGTAAATAAAATACGCTAAATCATTCTTGAACTTCAAGATAATTTTTTTTAAAGGGAACCATAAAATTTTTCTTTGAAAATTCGGCCTTAAATTATATATTAACCAATATACCACATATGAAACTCAAATTGGTTTATAATAATAAGTAAATAATCATACCAACTCCATATTTATCATTTGCACACTCTCCAATTTAATGAGGAGTGTCGATAACTACTCAAGCTATTTGAATTGGACTCATATTATTCGAATTTAGCTAGTTGTAATCTATTCGAGGTTGAACTCGAGTTACGAGTCCAACCAGCTACTACAAAAGTTGAGCCAAGTGATTTTTTTTTTTTTAATCTAAATAAAGTATTTATGTTCTACATAATTTAAAATATATTCAATATTTTTAGATAATGTTTATTAACATGAACTATCTTATTTGAATATATTTGAGTCTTAATTTATTATCATATATATTCATTTTTTCTTAATTATAACTCAATCAAGTTGAGTTCAATTTTTTTTAAACATCAACTTAAATTTGACTTTGAATTCGAAAATTAAAATCCGGTATTACATATGTGTCAAATTAATTATTTTAATAAAATTAATTTAATACAGTTATTTGATTTCACTTACAACCTCAGTATTCTTCGCTTACATGTGTTCTAATACAGAAAGCTTCGCCAAGAGTGTCGCCAAGCCTTTTGTTTTCTTTAATACCTTCGCATACTCTTTGAATTCACTTACAATTTCAGGGCGATAAAGCTTCAGTTTTGGATGATGCCATCGCATATATCAAAGCCTTAAAGATGCAAAATGAAGTAATTATGCATTATAATTATTATATATTAATAATCATATTTACTAGACATTAGGCTATACAGTTAATTTCACATGTACGAAGTACTTGTGGAAATTAAAAGCACTAAAAATCTTTTTATCTGTGTTATTAATTTCATAGGCTCTGGGATTTTCCATGATGGGTGAAGGAGGCACATGGCAAGCCACCGCAATGAGTCAGACTGGAAGTAATGGATCTGTAACGCCGAGTGGACAATATGTGTCCGTTAGCGCCGGGGTTTCTGTGCCACCGCCACTACATTCGTCATCAGCCGACAATATCCAGTTTTCACCAACGGTGGAAGAGGGGCAAGTATTTCCAGTCCCTCAATTGCCGTTCATTACGTTCCCCACCTCCACTTCTGCTGCGGTTCCCAGTTTTAATAATAGCTTCTGCCCATTCAGTCTTCCAGACCAACAACACTTTGGCTTCTCAAACAGTCGAAAACTAAGAGCACCTATTTCCCAGAATAGTTAAATCAGGTAATTTTTATAGATCATCCAATACTTATTATGAAATTTTTATGTTTTGATGATACGACAATAAAATTATTACAGAAAATACAATTAAAATACAATTTCTTGCACTTGTCTAATATTGATTTTCCTTTTATATTAAGAACACTACGAAATTTAATTTTATATTTTCGGTTTAACTTATGTCATGTTAAACGGGTGTGTTTCAGGTCAGATCAATCAATCGAACGAGTTAACTCATGGGATTCGAGTCATTTAAGTTTGGTTCGTACCGAGTTGAATGTAAATTTGGACGAGCAGTATATTAGAATCAGAGTGTGGAAGCTGTTAAATATAAATGTAATTATATAGCTAGTTAGTTTATTTATTTATAGTTAGTTTGTTTATGTAATAATAATAATAAATATAAATGTAATTATATAGTAGTTAAGTTTATTTTATTTATAGTTAGTTTGTTTATTGTAATAATATAATAAAATAATAATAATAATAATAATAATAATAATAATAAGATACGTTTAAGTTGTTGTATTCGATCATCCTCATAAACTAAGTAATTACAAGAAAAGAAAAAAAAAAAAAAAAAAAGATCACTCCCCTTTCCCCTCCAAATCCGAACCCCACCCTCTCCCTCTTTCCTCTCTTTCTTCCCTTCCCTTTCTACCATCCTTGTCCCCGGAAATAAAGATCACTCTCCCTTTCCCTCCAAATCCGAACCCCACCCTCTCCCTCTTTCCTCTCTTCTTCCCTTCCCCTTTCTACCATCTTGTCGGAAATCAGCAGTGGCAGCAGCTCCAAGCCGCCGACAATCCTCTCCCTCTCCCCTTTTGTGGTTTTGCTCCTTTTGCTTGAAAGATTAAACCTCTCTTCTCCTTAAACACATGGCAGAAATTGGTCTTCAAGTGTAACTTCTATTTATGCCCGAGTAAGTGAATTTCCATCTCTGTTGTACTCTACTAGTTGGATTCTTGGGTTGATTGCAAGAGTTCTTTCAATAAGCATAATTAGGGTTCTTGAAATTGGAATTTTGGTATTTTGTGAACTTGTGCTTACATTGGATGTTAGAACCATGAAGTACACTACAAAATGTAGTTAGGGTCGTGTTTCACACTAGTTTTTAAGGCTGTATTCGGCAACAGTTTTTTAAATAATTTTCAAAATACTAAATACTAGTTTTTTATAATGATCAATAACATAATGTTTGAACAAATTTTTAGAGGTTAAGATAGTGTTTTATAAAAAGTTAACTCATGTAATTGTTTACCTTTATAGTGTCTTATAAAAGACTATAAAATATCATAATTAGTTTAGTTATGATGTTATTAAGCATGCTAAATACTATGTTGGACGAATTAGTTGTATAGAATTAGGAGTTCTATTAATTTTATCATCATTAATAAGGCTTTGAAGAGAGAATTGTGATTACAAATCTAATAAGTGATTAAAATGGTCATTTTAGCATTCCAATGCATAAACATATGTTTGAGTGAAGGGAATTATCAAATGATTTATGTTGAGTTAATGGAATTATTTGGATATTGAACTTTGGAAATTATGTTGAGAATTGCCATGGATGGTATGGGTTATTATTATTATTATTATTATTTTTTTTTTGAATATTGAGAAGAGAATTCGAACTCAGATCTATTGAGCTGTTGTCCAATCATACATACACTCACTGTTAGACTATATTTTGGTGTGCTAAATAGTATTGATATTCATTGTGGATGAAAAATATAATTACATGTTGAATTCATGATTTTTCCATGGATGAGATGGTCTATATTTTAGAGGGGATTTTATCAGATTTTCGGTAGAACATAGGAAATTTAATTTATAATAGAGAGAGAATTTCCTTATAAGAATTATTTGTTAATAAATTATTTTTTTTCCTATCTTTTTAACTATAGCTATTAATCGACTGGGTCCATCTTCAATCACTCTAAATATTTAGTATAACAACCCCAATTGTTTATACCAAATCATAAAATTGTCACAATGGTAATACAAGAGACTAAATAAATTAAAAACCCTATAAAATTAGCTTAGAAAAGAAAGTAATTTTTCAGGGTAATTTCCAAATTTAGGTAAGTTTTTTATCTTTTCTGGGTCCCCTTGGAATCTTGTCAAGAACTTTCGAATTGAATTTTTCAAATAAATTCTTCACTTCATGGCTACTTTTTCCAGCAAAACGATCCACTTGATCTTCATATCGCTCATATAAAGCTGGCAATGTTGCCATGCACAGGTACACTTCGTGCAACAAAATAAATAATTTCACTACAAACCCGATTAAGTACTTCAAAGTTTTATTACAACAGGTGAAAAAATAATAAGAAAAAAATAGTTAAAAGAAAACCTCAGGTTCTTACCAACATATAGAAAATTCAAAGTGCTGCATAGAGATCCACAAGCTGCCAATATCCAGAGACAACCAATAGTCTGAAAATCTAGTGCAAATAATTAGGAACCTTAACATGACATTAGGAATTAACTATTGTTGGTAAAAGAAAAGGGTAAGCAATAGAGGAGAAGAGATTTGCAATATTTGCTTACCGCGAAGAAAGTGATTAGATCTTTTCCACTTGAAACATAGTGTAAATTCGATATACAGTTGTTAATTTGTGAAAGAAAGAATCTCAACATGGATTCTTGCAACTCTAAATCGTTAACAGAAGGAGGATCTCTGAAAAGCACATTAAGAAGTTAGTATTACATCTTAATTAATAATAGTATATAGGAATCAAGATGATTAACGTGATTAGTACTGTCAAAACGGACATAAGTCTAGGGACAAGTTGGGATCGTCTGTATTTTTTTTTAAATCTGAACAAGAGAATTAAGGACCATTTTCAAAACATTTTTTTTTTATCCGGTTGATTTTGAGAGCTAGTCAGGCTGGGCTGCCCGTTTTGACAGTATTAAACGTGATAGGATTTGATTGCCAACCTTTTGATCAATCCTGAACTATTAGACCAGATGAAGAGAATGGCCATAAAAAACATGAGCAAATGACAGAGAAGACTAATAAAATGGTACTCCACAACTTCAAAAAGGAACCATATAATTGTGAAAACAATTAGAATCCCTCCTGATAAATGCTTGTTCCTCCACAACAATATGTCAGCAACTGCACAATCAAAATACCCAAAAATAATTATAACCCCATATGTAGAAATAAGAATTTCCATGTTCAAATTCTGATAATTCATCTCTTTTTAAATATTTAAAATGAAAAAAAAATTAAAGATAAGGAAATTTTACCAAGTCCACCCCCAAAAATGGCATGAAGAGACCTTTGACGGCCATGTGATTTTGACGAGGATGGAAATTTGTCATCAGAATCAGAATCATATATCCCCCATCTTGGCATGATGACTAATGAAGTACCAGTTAGATCAATTCAAAAATAATAATAATAATGCCTTGTAAGGTAATTGATTATGTTTGTATGGTTAGCACTGTACGAAACTGTGATCAAGTCGTATATAAATTAAGTGGGTTCTATGCTTGGTATCTAAGCAACTTACGACAATGAAGAAAGGTATGGCTTTAGAATGGGTTGGAGGGTTTGCATTTCACATGCTCTGTTCAATAGTTTATTTTGTTCACCTATCTACAATTAATACCTTAACTAATGAAAACTTATTAATTTTTAAATTTCCATTAATGAAAAATTCCTAGTATCTTATTTATTAATTGACTAGCTTTTTGGACGTGCATAGTATGTTATTTGTTGATTTAATATAAATTTAATTTAATTTAATTTATATTAACAATTTTTATTAATTTTTTCGATTATAATATTATGAATATTTGATATTACAACCAATGAACTTTAAGATTTATTAAAAATAATAATTGAATATATTATATTATTATTATATTTAATATGTACCTTACATTGTACTCCCTCCATTCAAAAAAATAGTTTCGTTTCTTTTTCGCACAGATTAAGAATGAGTAGTTAAATTAGTTACCATAATGTTTATCTTTCTTTTTCCATATACACTTATATTAATAATTGTTTTATTCAATTTTGAAATTGTTTATCATTTTGGCACATGTTTTAATTACTTTATATTTATATTTGACTAAATATTTAGTAATTCTGTATATATTAATTATTGGCACAATATTATAAAGATATTATAGAAAAATTAACAAAAAGACCATTTTCAAAAATGAAAATGGGAATATTATTTTGGGACACCCAATTGAAAGACAGATTATTTTTTAGCATGGAAAGAGTATAATATAACCAATAATATTAAATTATATTTCTTTTTTAAACTAATAAAATTAAAATTCTTAAAGATATTTTATTCTTATTATACTTAATACATATCTTATATAATATATAATATAATTTCTTAGTTTATTATATAGAATTTAGATTTAAGTAAAGAAATTAATATAACCAATCAAAATTAAAGAATTTTTATTTTTTTAATCAATTAAATTAAAATTTTTAATTAATTTTTTGTCAACATATAACCTTAGTAGGCCATTTTGATAATCTCAATATTCTCTCGCTCATTCCCACTTTTATATATATACTAATTTTTTCAAACATGCATAGTACGTTATTGACCTATTTGATTTTTACTTGTTGCCAGTAAGTATATATATATATACTAATTTTTTTCAAAACTGCATAGTAGTTATTTGACCTATTTGATTTTTACTTGTTGCAGTTAATGTATATATATATATAATTTATATATATATATATATATATATTATAATATATATATATATATATATATATATATATATATATATATATATATATATATATATGAGAAGAAGGAGAGAGAGAGAGAGAGAGAGAGAGAGAGAGAGAGAGAGAGAGAGAGAGAGAGAAGAGAGAGAGAGGAGAGAGAGAGAGAGAAGAAGAGAGAGAAGAGAAGCAGAGAGAGAGAGAGAGGAGAGAGAGAGAGAGAGAGAGAGATAAAATTTTCTATTAATTTCTTTATGAAGAGCACTATAAAAATATTTTATGAAATAATAAAATAATAATAATAATTTTTCCTAAGTGAGGATCAGATTGACTTGGCTTATTGTGTTTTAATTTTATTTTATAGGCAAACTATTATAATAATTAATATATTAATTATTATTTTATAGCATTGTTTTTAATTTTTGATGTTTTTAAAAAAAAATTTTTTTTTGCTAAAATTTATGAACGTATAATTAATTTTATAAATGGTTTTTTTTTTAGAAAAAAATTCCTTAAACATGTTGTATGGTTTACTGATATAACTTATTACCTCATATATATATATATATATGATATATAACACGTTATACTTATTTGTTATTTATGAAGAAATTGATTATAAATTTTATAATATACTTCTTAATAAATAATAAAATAAATTACATTTATTATTTGTAGAATAAGTTATTTTAGAAATTAACTATAATCGATAAAATTAAAATTTTCTAAAATTAATAATTAAACATATTATATTCTAATCAATATTTAATACGTACCTTAGTAGTATTATAATATAACTAATCAAAATTAAATTATTTTATTTTTTCAACTAATAAAATTACTCGTTTAAATACCCAATCCATTTAAATATCCGTTTAGCATTAAAAATATTCTTTTAGTTTTATATTTCAAAAATAAAAAAAAAAGTAAAAATTATAAAATTATTATTTTGAGTTAATAAAAAATATAATATAAACATCAAATATAATTATAGAATTAATTAAAATTAAAAAGATGTATATATATTTTTCTTTTAAAAATAATTATTTTAAAATATTAATTACGCAGGTAGCAGGTAGTGAGTACCCGAGTTCTTAAACTCCAATCTGATATAGATAATAATAATACTACTTCAGACCTATCTAAACTCATATTTGTCCATTCGAACCGCTAAAATTAGATCAGATTGGATCGAAATGAGTACTCGTGGCTCGGTTAAATTGACATCCCTTGTAGATCAATGCCTATAAGGCAAATAAGGCAAGTGGGTGACCAAAAATTTCCATAGTATTATATTACTTTCTCAAAGAAAAGAAAATCGTTTAAATTAGATCAATTCCTTTCCAAACCAATATCTCTAAAATTGGAAATAAACTGAACTTGTGCTAACATTTATATATTTATTATCTATTAATACAAATGATAAATATCGTCTGATAGAAATTAAATTTAGAATCTTGAAATAAATGGTTGGATGGTCCTAAAGTTGAAATAGAATCTCATTTTATTCATCAACTGCAAAAAGCATGCCGTGGTGTGCTCTAAAAAACATTCCCTGAGTATGTCTTTCTTGTTCTTGGATTCCTTTGGGAGCTTTAGGGCATATATTAAGTTCTGTAATTAGATTTTTTTTTTTTTTTTTTTTTTTTTTTTTTTTTTTTTTTTTTTTTTTGGTTGCATTATCTCCTTCTATGACACTACTTTCCGTTTATTGACAGGTGGATATACACACAGCTTACAAGTTAAGCAATATATTGAGAATATGTTTTTTAATTCTCTCTCTAATTGGTAATCCAATTTATTAAAGAAAGGATTAAATGTAGTATTAAATATAAGCAAAATGTCAATCAGACGGTAATTTGATTGATCTTTTCACTTAAATGAGGAATAAGAGGTCTTAGGATCGAATTCTCTCAATTACAGTTGTTTTCATCGATTTGATGACTTTAGTAGAAAGTCACCTCTTGTTGTATAGTCCTTAAATCTATATTTTTGTTCAAATTACCTCATGAATTTATAATTCACGTACAATTACTAATAAGTTCAGGGCAAATCAGATTTATTCGAAAGTATATCTTTAAGATTAATAATTTTTAATTAATAAAAAATAAAACTTTTTACTACAACTTTATTAAAAAAATAAAAAGTTTAACTTTTGGTCGTCGGAATCCCACGGAAAAATGAGTTGAAAAAATTAGACTCCAATGTTTGGTTGGTACTTCTTTAAAAAATTAAATCTCTGAATATATAAACCTTATCCATACTTTCTCATGTATATAGAAAAATCGTGAGAAAATTAGATTCCTATTAAGATAAAATATTTTAATTATGTAATAACATTTGCTGCACAATTATGTTATTCTTCGAGAAAATTTTTATTATCATCTAAATACGATAATTGAACTTTTGTACTATACTTTCTCAAAATTTTAGTTTCTTAAAAGAATAATTTTCTATAGAAAAATTGAATTCGGATGAACAAAATGCCACATATGTGAGAGCATAATATAAATTTTTAATAACATTATCACAGATTTGATAGTATCACTAACATGTTAATGTTTGGATAATATGCTATTAATATATTATAAACTAGGCGGTATCCTGCACTTCGCTTGATTATATAATATTTATATTTTTAATTTCAAGTGTAAATGTAAGAAGCGATTGGAAATATTATTAGAAATTAAAGTAGACTTAGAGAACGATTTAGATACTTGATTTTTATTTTTTTTTAGAGATTTAACATTGAGAGTATGTAATTAGAGAAACATATTAAAATGTAATATTGATTTCATTATCGCATAAAACAGATTTAAATTATCTTTTATTGCACACACTTTAATCCCTGTAGAAGTAAATAAAACAAAACTAAAATTAACAAAATATAAAATGATAATGAAATTGGAAAAAATAAAACTAAGCAAACAAAACAAACAAAGCAATAAAAAGCTACAGTGTTCTTCTTTTAACTAACCAAATAAATGTCACGACCCGATTCCATGGGTCGGACTGGCACTAGGGCCCAGGTAAGCTTAAGGCCCCCGAGATCCGTAGTAAGCCTAAAACACTAAAAATTTACTATCTCAATATCATTTTAAACATTCAGCCCATATTTATAGGCAATATAATTTTAAACATTCAGCCCATATTTATAGGAAAATAAACCTCAAGATTTTATTAAATCTTGTCCCAAATTTATCAGCTACAACATTTCATAGTTCGGGCCCAATTAACAAAACATCACATTTTTAATATGGGCTCACATAATTATATCGTCTATGTTAATACACGACTAATTGAACGCACATTCTACAACTACAAAGTCACTAACTATTTGGTATACATAGCTTTTTTATACATAAATTTACATAGTAAAATAATTATGGAACTGGGAAAATTTTCTTCTAGCACTGCGGCGAAAGAACATAACCGAATTAAAGAGAAACTTACTTCCTGAAAAATTAAACAAGATATGTGAGTCTTCTAAGAAGTAATACTTATTGCACAACACACGCATTCACACAAATGTATCACGCAGTCATACAAAGTGTAAACCATATCAATCTAGTCATCCGACTATTTATATGGCTCACGCAGCCAGTCAACACAAATAGGCCACATCACCAAGCACTCACCAATCATTTAACATCTTCATATAAATTCACATCACGTGAAAATTGGTCAGTGGAGCACCGAACCCCGGATGAGCCGTCCTCCCCACATGGCTCAAATCCACTCA